ACATTCAAGCAATTGAATAATTGACAATCAGTTTCACATATATCTAGCCAAAGGTTAATTCCTTAACTCATTGATCCTAACAATCCACTAAACCTCCCTAATCCCTTAGGTGAGATTCAATTTCAAGTTACATTAAGAATTAGAACTATAAGATTGCAGAATTAGGTCTCCTTATCCCTAAGAAATTCCTAAACTCTGGTTGCCAATTCAGATCAGAGCAAACAATCCAATTCCCATTGGTAAAGATTCCTCTTGAGTAATCAAATGAATTTCCATTCAGAGATTGCATGAAAAGCAGAATTAACAACTCAATTAATCCAAGAACTTAAAGTTCAGAAGATAAAGTCGAATCAATACATCAATTCGAGTTCCATAAACCCCTAACTATGGGAAATTAAGCACACATTGCAACAAAAACAGAGAAAGAAGAAGAAGAAGATGAAGAAGAATGCAAAGCAGCCATGGCCACGAGCTCCAATCCGATCCCTCTTCTTGGAGCTTCAAGCTTCGACCCCAATCTTCTCTCCACTCTCTCTCAACGAGACTCTAACTAACAAAACAGAAAATGAGCAAAAAGATCCCAGTTTCGCGCTTCAATCAGGTATTTATAGAAACCCAGTTCTGCGCGTTGTCACTTTTCTTCACAAGAGTAACCACGCAGAAGCTTTATGTAGTGTGCGTGTTCACTTTCAAGAGCAAGAGTAACCACGCGCAACTTGCAGAGTTGAAGGCTTCTCTGGAACATTCACTTTTGTTCATAATAGTGGTAACGCAGGAGGTCAAGGGCTGCGCGTGATCACTTTCGTGACTAATAGTAACCACGCGCAAGCTGTCCTGATACAAGTGCCTCTGGAACGCTTACTTTCGTTGGCGAAAGTGACAACGCACAGCTCATCAGGAATGAAGTCTCTCTGGAACGTTCACTTTCGCCAGCGAAAGTGATAACGCACACTGGCAATGCTCACTTTCACTAACAATAGTGATCATGCCCAGGCTGCAACCCATAATTCTTGTATTTTGGAGTCCAGCATTGCCATTCTTCCTCTTCCTTCCCATTGATTCTCCATTTCCATGACTTTTGCTCAGCTTATTCCTTCAAAACAAGATAAATTCCTTAAGAACTAAACATAAATTCTACAAATGCGAAAATAACTACAAATTGAATTAAAACTTTCAATCATTCTCTTTTTCTGAGTTTTTCTGCTTTCTTCATATATTTTTCTTATTAAATGAGCTAGAATTATGCTAAAATATCAGTAAAAATATGGATTCATCACTCCTCTTCTCCTACTCTTTCTTTCTCTTTTTCTTTTAGGAACATGTTCTGATTTCTTTTTGTTATGGATTGATGGATCCGATTGTGATATTGTAAATTGATTGTGGATCTGGATTTTAAGATCTTGATTGTATTAAACGTTTAATTCTGTTCTTAATGCAATTGTGAACTAAACCTTCATTCAATTGAACTTAGAGAAATCTTCATCAGCGAAAATTGAGTTTATTTCTCATATCTGAATTAAATGTCAAGGTTATGGATATCTTAGGGATAAGAATTTGTGATCTTGTGATCTCTTAAAATCTAATGCCTAATGCAATGTTTAATTGAATTACACCTAAGGAATTAAGGTAGTTTAGTTAGATATTAGGATCAATGAGGCAAGGAATTGTCCTTTGATTAATCTAGTGAAATTAATCATCAATCAATTAAGGAACTTAGAGTTCAGATCTACTTCAGTTTGGCAATTGATAAAGAGGTGAAATCAATCCTAACTTCATTTACATATCATTTCATTTCTAAATTCATTTTGCTGTATTTTTCAGATTTCTTCACTTTATTGTTCTTGTTTGTTAAATGATTCAAAACACTCCAAATTCGTTTGGCTCAACTAGTTATTGACTTGTGAAGTGGTAATTGATAGACTTAATCCCTGAGGACGATACTTGGGACTCACATTGATTTCCAAATTTTATTACTTGCTACAACTACCTAGTACACTTGCTAGTTAGTTCTTAAATGTGTATCACACACTAACATGCAAAACACAAAAACAGAACACAAAACATGTTTAATATCTAATCAAGCACCAATGATTCCCCGGCAATGGCGCCAAAAACTTGTTTGGAGGGCAAGTATACCCATCGAGAAGTAATAAAGGGTTCTTAAATTAAGTTCCCGAAATATTGTCCCACAAGGATTGATTTCCAATTGCTAAAAATTTCCTAATTTAATTGTTTAAGCTTGAAAGATATGAGATTAAATAAGAATTTATAAAATCAATTATAAAACTAAGAGTAAGGAATACAATGCACGTCTTGGTTAAACTTATCAGAGAGGAACCTAGGGCATATGGGTTTTCTTATTCAATCCTTTATGTTATTTTTCTATTTAACTCTAAATCCGATTTCCTTGTGATTACCAATCATTCATACGAATAATATTAATACCCAATGGTCATGCAGTATTAATATTCTTTTCTCTAAATTAATATCCCCAATGGTCATGCAAGACATCAATTTGAGAAGCTTAAGGAACCTATGAACTTGTTAATTTAATAATGATTAGAAGAGAAAGATTGGTTTGGTCCACCTAATCCTTTGTCTCATTTTACCCTATAGATCTATTAATTAACCGAGGTACAGTTGCCTGACGATATAATTAATTAGTATTAAGAAAGAAGCGCAACAGGATAAAATCCAATCACAAAACAGAAATCAAATTTAAATTCAAATATCAAAATTCCATAAATTCATAAACAATAATTCCCATAGCCCTAACTATGGACTTAGTTACTCATGCTAAATAAAAGAAATAAAACAAACATAAATAAAGCCATAATCAAAAGAAATAGCAAACTAGAGTGTGAGATATGTTCCCGGTCTTCAAGTACGATCGCTCAAAGCTCCAAGTCCCGCCAAGCATGTGCCAAGGATCCCGTGCAAGAGAGACGAGATAAAATGTATTCTCGAGCCAAGCCAAGATGTCAAAAAATAGTCCTTATGATGCCTGAGATCTTCACTTTTACAGGATTTGAAAACCCTAAAATCTCTTCATAATTGGGCTTCCTGCAGATGAGCACGGCCGTGCAAGGCCTTAAGCACAACCGTGCATGGGCTCGAAGCACCCCGTGCTTGTTGGGCTGGCTGCTGTGAAGCTCTAATCTTCCATCAATTTGGGCCTAGAATGCACTCAAAATTCACTTGCGGCCTCTTATACCAAACTGCACAATTAATATATAAATTAGTGTAAAATCTAAATGAAATAAATGTCAAATATGAATATATGAGCTGTAAAAGAGGGCCTAATCACAGACTTATCAGAAACTTTCTTGTGCCTTCCTAATTTTTATATGAAATTAACATTATATTGTTGTATTGTTTTGTATTAATGTGTTTCTAAATATTGTACTATGAATTCTCGGTTAAATTTTATGTAATTCTTTTATATTTGAATTTGATTTAGATTTTTTAGTATTTTGTAAATGATTGCTCCTGTTTTAAATGTTTCAACTAATTTAAATACTTGTATGATTGTATCATGAATCGTAATAGACATATTTGTTTAATGTTCATAATTTGGAGTAACACATTTTCTACTTCTACATTGATTAGACATAGAGATAAAAATGTATTGTAGTTGTTAATATTTCCTTTTATACATGTTATTCTTAAATTTCATTGAGACATTAGATTTTTTAAACTAGGAAGAATTAATGTAGAATATCAAGGCATCATATTTTACTAGATTAGCAATTTAGATCATATAAATATGATTAGTGAACAAGATTAAATTTGTTGTTATTGTTTTTATTTTACATGAAAAATTGTATAATTTTATTTCTACATTTAATGTCTCTATCTAATTTAGGCAAAAGTTATAATATTAGTATTTATTTAACTTTCATGTGAAAGAAATAAATACATTATCTTAAAAAAAAATCTCAATGTTCCAAAATCAACTAGTAGAAAAATTATTGCTTGTGATTTTAAACTTAAATTTAAGTAAATACAATTATATTAAATATTTGAAAGAAAAACTTTATCTCTTATAATAATTCTATTCAATTCAAATAATTATTTTTTATAGAGCATGCTTGTGAATTTTTTTTAAAAAATCAAACATATTCTAACATTACATTATAAGTTATAATAAGTTATAAATCATTACATGGTTAATACTCTCTTGAATTTGAATTTATAATTTCAGTTTGGATAAGAATGATACGAACACTTTATCAATCCTTTGACAATATCTTTCTTCATCGAATTTATTCAATCTTTTCAATACTTTGATCAATCTATTGATAAACTATCTTTTTTGAGCAAAGAAATTATTGTGTAAAGTTGATTCATATATTGTCTTTTACAAACTTAAATAACATATTAACATCTCATAATTCAAAACTTTTAAAATTTTATTTAAAACGTGCGTTAGAAAGAAAACATCGTTTAAAATAGTTTCAAACTGACAAAAATTTCTTTGCACAGAATCGCAACTAACGATAATCTATTTATAATCATCACCAATAGGACTTTATTTATACGAGGAATATTCAGCAAATTTTACCTACTTAGTAATATAATTGGTGCAAATCATAACATACGATCTATTTTAACTGTTTATTTAATTTTTATTACATCGAACGATTTATATTGAATAGCACTTTAGAAATTTTAGCCAGTCTATGGTCCTTCATTGCCTATCAATACTACTATATTTTCATTATTAACTGGTAAAAGTTAATTTTATATGTAGTATTGCAGATTATTAGTTGTATCTTTTCTTTATTTTAAAATTTTTTACATACATATTCCAAAAATATATCAAATATTTTCCAACGGTTGCGTGTTACCGTATTATTTCTCATGTGACGTCTCAAACCATAAAAGGGATTAAAAATGTTGAAGCTTGAAAACTTTTTCGCTTCCAGACCGTGAATGACCAGCTTCAACCAATGCTCAGTTTAAAATAATCAACTCGTGGAAGATTCAACTCCATCTCCATTGTTGAAAACTCAATAAAATAAAACAGAAAAATCCATCCATTCAATCAATCAACCACTGGAGCAGGCCAAGTCAAAGTCTTCCATTTCCTTTTGCGTTCCACTTCACCTCCGTCGCATTATAATCCATTTCCACACACGAAACCCAAACACACTCCAATCCCAACCTTGACAACACCTATCATTACCATAAATACATGCATCCAACCAACACCAGCATCTTCACATGTACACACGTCCAATTGAAAAATCAAACAAACAACAAAACATGTTCCTAAAAACGGAGTTTTTGCTCCTAATCCTCACCCTTGTTTTAACAACCACCACCACAGCCATAAACCCAGGTTCCACCCTCTCTGCCTCTTCCAACCAAACATGGCCTTCGACCAGCGCCACCTTCTCCCTCCGCTTCATCTCTGTTCAGCCACCAACCTCTCCCCCTTCCTTCACCGCCGCAATCGTCTACTCCGGCGGCGCCCCCGTCGTCTGGTCTGCCGGAAATGGCACCGCCGTTGACTCCGGTGGGTCCCTCCAATTCCTCTCATCCGGTGCCCTCCGCCTCGTCAACGGATCCGGCGCCACCGTCTGGGACTCCGGCACCGCCAACCGCGGTGCTACGTCAGCAACTCTCGAAGACAGTGGCAATTTGGTAATTTCAAACGGTACGGGTACCCTCTGGTCCAGCTTTGACCACCCCACTGATACTCTTTTGCCCTCTCAGAATTTCACCGTTGATAAGGTTCTCACATCTGAACGTTACTCCTTTAGTCTTAGTCGAATTGGCAATTTAACATTGAAGTGGAACAATAGCATATTGTTTTGGAACCAGGGTTTGAATTCTTCTGTGAATGTGAGTTTGAATGCTCCTGTGTTGGGGTTAACATCAATTGGGATTTTGCAACTTTCTGATTTGAATTTGAACACTTCTGTTGTTGTTGCTTATAGTAGTGACTATGCTGAGGGGGGTAGTGATATTTTGAGGGTGTTGAAGTTGGATAATGATGGGAATTTGAAGATTTTTAGCAGTAGTAAGGGTAGTGGAATTGCTACTGTCAGATGGGCTGCAGTTCAGGATCAGTGTGAGGTTTATGCTTACTGTGGGAACTATGGAATATGTAGTTACAATGATTCCAATCCAGTTTGTGGGTGCCCGTCGGAGAATTTCGAGATGGTTGATCCAAGTGACAGTAGGAAAGGGTGTAGGAGGAAGGTGAGTCTAGATACTTGTCAAGGGAATGCAACTATGTTGACTTTGGATCATGCTCAGTTTTTGACTTATCCACCTGAGCTTCAGTCAGATATTTTTTTCATTGGTATATCGGCTTGTAGAGGAAATTGCCTTTCAAACTCGCCTGGCTGTTTTGCTTCTACTTCCTTGTCGGATGGGACGGGGCAATGTTACATTAAATCCGTAGATTTTGTTAGTGGATATCATAATCCTTCCTTGCCTAGTACTTCGTATGTCAAAGTGTGTCCACCACTGGCACCGAATCCACCACCCTCTTTGGGGGAGACTGTGAGGCAAAAGAGTACGAGGGTACCTGCTTGGGTTGTAGTGGTTGTTGTTTTGGGTACCCTTTTAGCTTTGATTGCCTTTGAAGGTGGTTTATGGATGTGGTGTTGTAGGAACAGCACGAGGTTTGGTGGATTGTCTGCTCAGTATGCTCTTCTTGAGTATGCTTCCGGTGCGCCTGTGCAGTTCTCATACAAGGAACTCCAGCGTGCAACAAAGGGGTTCAAGGAGAAGCTAGGAGCTGGTGGATTTGGTGCAGTGTACAGAGGAACTCTTGTTAATAAAACTGTTGTCGCAGTGAAGCAACTTGAGGGTATTGAGCAAGGTGAGAAACAGTTTAGGATGGAAGTTGCCACTATAAGTAGCACTCATCATCTGAATTTGGTGAGACTAATTGGCTTTTGCTCAGAAGGTCGCCACAGGCTTCTAGTTTATGAGTTCATGAAAAATGGATCTCTTGATAATTTTCTATTCCCGACAGAACATTCAGGAAAATTTTTGAATTGGGAGTATCGATACAACATTGCCCTGGGCACTGCAAGAGGCATCACATACCTTCATGAGGAGTGTCGTGACTGCATAGTTCACTGTGATATAAAACCCGAAAATATTCTCTTGGATGAGAATTATGTTGCCAAAGTCTCTGATTTTGGCCTTGCAAAGCTCATTAACCCAAAGGACCATAGGCATCGGACCTTAACAAGTGTGAGAGGAACTAGAGGATATTTAGCCCCAGAGTGGCTTGCAAATCTTCCCATAACATCCAAATCTGATGTTTATGGCTATGGCATGGTTTTGTTGGAGATTGTGAGTGGAAGGAGGAATTTTGATGTCTCAGATGAAACAAATAAGAAGAAGTTCTCTTTGTGGGCCTATGAAGAGTTTGAGAAAGGTAACATCAGTGGGATTTTGGACAAAAGACTAGCTGACCAAGAAGTTGACATGGAGAAACTGAAAAGAGCAATTGAGGCAAGCTTTTGGTGCATCCAAGAGCAGCCATCTCAGAGACCAACAATGAGCAAAGTGGTGCAAATGCTAGAAGGGGTAACAGAGATTGAGAAGCCACCTGCCCCAAAATCAGTGATGGAAGGACATGTTAGTGGAACCAGCACATTCCTAAGTAGCAATGCCAGTGCTTTCTCCACAGTTGGAGTTTCCCCACATGGTCCCTCATCATCATCATCATTTCAAACTAGTGGTGTTTCAACCTTCACCTCAGGAAGGAACCCTGAAAAGGCAACTTTAATCCTTTTACAATCAGAAACATGACTGAAATTGCTTCCCTTTTTTTCCTTTTTCATATTACCAGTCAGAATCAGTTCAAAGTCACATTCATTTGGGATTTGATGCTGGAACAGCAGAGGTAAGCTTTGCTGATCAAGCCATGTATGATATGATATTGATTATATACTATATTTCATTTTTCTTTCCTTTACCCTTGTCATTGTATACTAGCTCAAACTAGGAGAGTTTAAAGATAAAGTTGAAGCAATTATCTGTTTCAATTCCTGAAGTTTTGCTTGTGTATAAGAGTATATCCATCTGATGAAGACGTTTCCACAACAATGTGTACAATTTTATTTACAATAAAACAGCTGATCCTCATTGGTTGTTTAATTTATGTATTTTCCAATACTGCCAAAATTCCTGTACCAGCATAGTGATTTTGTGATTCTAGTCGTGATAACGTTGTTGTCTTGCATAATATGTTGTCAGTTTCTAGTTGTGTAATCAGTCCCCTCCCCTTTACATTGATAAAGTTGCATATATCCGATGACAGATGGGAAAATGACTACTTGGTTGATAAAAAGTGTTGTATTTCTGCATGTTAACCACTTATTAAAATAATTTATCCGACAATATGCGAATAGTTATTCAATAACTATGTCTAGTTATGTTTGTTTTTAAGGCCGCATTATGTTATATGATTAAATGTTTCAGAAAACATTTTGAAGAATGGATTGGGATTATTTTCCACTTGTAAATAGCAGCTTTTAAAAGGGTTACATTTATATGAAATTACTGAGGTTTATAGTTGTGCTCATTAATAGTATTAGTAGTAGCGGAAGTGATAAAATGGTTAGAAATATAAACAAAAATTATACACAACTAAAAACCTAAAGGTAAAACGACCGAAACATAAATGATTCGGGTAAGTGCATTATTTTGCTAATTCTCTTGGAAGACTGTTTATTATATACGTGAAGCATGGCAACTACAGCCTCAAAATGTCAAATGTCACTTTCCCTAAATTTAGGAGCCATTTTTTCTTCAATCTTCTAGCTGCTCCCCAGTGATTGAATAATTGGGCTTTTCTTTTATAAAATATGTATGCAACTCATTTTTTAACTTCTACTGTTCTACAAGTCACCACGACAGCAACACTGTGACATTACTTTCTTATAATATCGAAGAAAACTGGTTAAAATCATATCTTATACATATTTTATCCCATTTTCATCTCTTACTAGGGGATATACTCAATGAGCATATGAATATAGTTTTTCTTACTTTTTAGGAGCCTTCCCCTTCTCTCTCAAAAAGCCATATGAAGCAAGTTATCTTTTTCTTATTTTTTGGATCTACACCTAAGATCAGGTTTTAATGGTAATTTTTATGGCTGGTAGCTCAGAGTATAGGGCTGACATTTCTTCATTGGGCTTCTCCTTTTTTCAATCCACATCAAAACTTCACAAGTCACACAGATACCTGGATCATCAGTCAATTGACCCAAAATAAACAAACCTAATATCTTTGCGATGCTAACAAGGTGTTAAAAATAACATTTTATTTGGTACTGTTGGAAAACAGTATCACAGCCATCTACTAAACTTTACTTATACTTTTTTTTCCCCTCCTTTTCAAAGTTTTGAAGAATGAAGATAAACGCGAGACATTTTGTTTCATCATGCTTATAACTTATTAGCACTTTCTAGTTGTCAAAATGCCCAAGTAGTTAATTTTATAGCAATGAATGCCGCATGCTTGATTGAAAAAATAAATGTTAATTAGATGCAACCAAACATATGTCACATCCTCAAGGAACTCACGTCATTTTTCTTTTTAATTTTTTTATAAACATTAGCCAATGCAATGTCCCAAAGGTACTGGTTAAATAAAAATTAAATTATTATTAAGTACACATTCAATTTAATTTCTAATAACCCTTTATTTCTCGTGGACTATGTGGTATTTCCATTTTCCCCAAGGGAAGATAAACTAATGCAGAGTTGTGTGTGAATGTGATGGTGCAATTCGTGTTTGCCTGAAGCAGGCTACGAGAAAATAAGTCTAAGTTCTAATTAAATGCAAAATTCTACTTTGTGTTACCGGTGACCGATTGATCGCAGTCAACAAATTTTTCGTAATAAATATTTCTGATCTAAACACAGAGTCAGGTTATAGTATATTTTTATAAATTAAATTTGACAAAAAACATAAAATGTGTGTATTTGAAGAGAAGTTTGAATCTATTCTCTGATATAGGAATGTATTTGCATAAAAAATGTCTGAAAGCACTCAAAAGTCTAATAGATAATGTTCTTCATCATAACAACTTAACATTATCTTCTAAGATTATATAATCTAAATAATTAATTAATATTAATCTACAAAATAGATTTGAGAATATTTAAAATTATTCTACTTAAATAGAATTAATTTAATTATTAGACGTGAAAAGATTACTTCGACAAACGTTAATTATGGAAAAAAAACTCCTAACAATGTAGAAAATTATATCAGACAGGACTAATGCTACACAATTTAATGAACTCATATCTCATAAAAAAGATTAATAAGTAAAAGCATAATTGAAATAAACAAACATGCAATCTCAATAAATGGTCCAAATATCTTAAATCGTATAAAAATATGATAAAATAGTAAATAATACACATATCAATAATAATAATAATGAACGAATGCAAAATTTCGGACTCTCAAAACATCAATCGGCTCCAAAATCATAGTATTTACGGTGAATTTTATAATTAATAAATAAATAAATTCAAGAGTAATTTAAAAGTTAAATTTTAAATTTTTTTAGATTCTTTTAATTGTGTGGTAATTATAATGGTTAACAACGACATAAAATAATTTAAACACGTGTAGAAGCAAAATAATAATAAAATAATATTTAACATAAAGGTAATGATTACATAAACAGAATGGAATGGAATTTAAATAGCTAAAAAAATAAAATTACAACTTTCACAATGAATACAGAGGACCGTCAATCTCTTAATTGTTGGTGTCTGTCTCAATGCAAAACTTTTAGCGTGCAGATAATTTTAAGTGCAAGTGTTTAGTGCAAATGTCATCTCCTAAAACGTAAAATTTAGTCCTATTTATATACAAATTAGATTTAATTGTTTTTCTTCTTACCTAAGTGTCCTTCACAACCATTTCTCACACGTTTCTTTATAATTGCTTCTACTTTGTCACACACAATTTACTAATTTACTACATGTGTCTTATTCTTCAATTGGTGATAACCTTTGACAATTGCTCTTGCTACTTTTCGACACATTTCTTTACTTTTTATATCTTTATTTGTTGCTTGAACTTGTAAAAAATCCTTCCGTCACTTTAGTCATTTCGACAACTTTGATCAATGAATATCTCAAACTATATTCTTTCAACTAATTTGGACTCTTCCAATCTTGGATTGGATTTACAAAAAATTTTAAAACCCCTCAAAAATGTTATCTCTATTTCGACATAAAATGAAACATTCTTTTTTATCCATTTTCATGAAAGTATATCAAAGTGTTGTACTTTTGATACAACTTAAGTTTTGAGATCATTCTTCTTGGCTACAATTGATCAAAATGTAAGAACCTTAGATTACATGAATTTCGGTCGAGAAAATGTATTTTTAAACCAATTTTTGAGATGAACTTCAACAATGCATAGCTCATTCGTCTACCACTAACTTAGTTGTCAAGATTTCATAACTTAGAAAAATTTTCATTCTCCAAAACACATTGACAAGAAATCAAATGCTCTAATTAGAGAATCTATTAATTATGGTAAATATACAAGTTGTACTTTCTCATAAATGGCCTATTAAATAAGACAAAGACCAAAAATAAAATTTGAGAGGTCATACAAAAATGACATACTTTGCTGTTATGATAACACCAGCTATAAGTGTATTAACACTAGTCTAAAAGATAACTTTTCTTGCCGTCAACATAATTCATATAAGCTTAATTCCTTACAATATTCCAGAAACAATAGTAATCACATAATGCCTAATAACACAAGTGATAACATATAGGCTAAATCAATAAATGCTCTACAATAATTGTCATTTAATTAATAGATTTAACCAAATAAGTGACTATGTCAACCTATTAGAAAATCTATCAACGAGTTTGGAAAATGTTGGCACTTATTTTAAAACAATAGAATACTCCATATTAATATGGTAAAAATATGTTAACAATGAGCAAACAGTTATAACCATTTGGTGTAAACACTAGATTACAAGAATCTCAAACAATGTTTGTACAAACTCATACTTGATAGGAGAACTAATCTCATGTATGTAAGACATTCATAAATCTAACTTTACAAAATATGAAATACATTATACCAAAAAAATACAGTAAAATGATTATGTGTCATTAAGGAGTGTTAGAACTTTTAAGTGAATAAGGGAAACAAGATTTACAACAATTGAAACTTGGCGATATGATATTCTAGGCGTAAATACACACTTTCCTAAAAGCAATATTTTGTCTCTTAAAAGAACGTAGGGTACCATGAAATTTTTTTTTGAGATACAAAGAAGATTGACAACGATAATTCACACTCTATGAATTAGCGTATAATAGGAACACAAAGTAAATTCAATTTTGTGTTGTTGGTGTTTCAAAGAATAAATAGTTTTGCAAGTACTTTTTCATTTTGTTGTGTTTTCTATGATTACATTAGAACCAAATTTCATCATCATCATAGAACATGAGTTCTATATATGTAGAGAAGAATTTTTAAGAAGAAATTATAAAACATAACTACTTGGTAGTTACTAACATAACTATTTGGTAGTTACCATTAGAAATAACTACCTAGTAGTTATCTTTAGAATTAACTTCCTCTTTTCTTATTTATAATTAATATCAAACACCATATCCTAATGATATTGATTATACAATCATGGATCAAAACCATGTAAATACTCTAAAATTCCAACAATCCTCCCCCATTTTAAGTATTCTAAAATTGGTTTATTAACACAAACACCAACTTGACATTTGCAATCTCATGCATAAATGAAAGTGTACATAGACTTGAACTTTTACTTAGTATAACATACATTTCAAGAATTTGTATTTCAATAGAGTGGAAACGATTGAACCAAAGTGATACATGTAAAAAACTTGAAGATATTATAAACACAAGATAAAATACATGTTCCTATTATACTTGACACAATAAGAGCCATGTGTCCATATCTATTCACAAGTGCATCAAAGTAGTGCCCCCTTGGCTTCTTGAAGCGGCCAAATTTCCCACTTACATAGGTAAATCTCTTAAGAAAATATGCTCCTACAACAAAGCATAAAGTCAAGAGATCTATTAAGAATTAATCAACCTCTTTAACATCGCAGGTCTAAAGCACTCTTACCTTCAATTTATTATTTATGCTTCCAATCATCAAATAAGATATTTAATCTTATTGAACTTAAGACTTAATGTCATATTAAGTGTAAAGTTAAGATTCCCTTAATTGTGATTAACAGTGGAGATCCAATCCCATCCCAATTTCCATTCTTGCAACAGAAT